CTGTAACTTTCACTTCTAATGCCGGGCGAAGGTCATCCTATGTTTTCGTTTTGGGTTCTTCGAACGAGAATATATCCCGGCCCTCCTGATCAAGAAGCGTACACCAAAGTAAGAAGAAGATGGGATGAAGAAAATGTGGTAAAGACTCCAACTTGTTCTTCATTTCGAGTTATTAAAAATAAATCGTCTTGACATATGGATTGGAATGACGTTTTCAATGAAATTGATGAAGATAATGAACAGTGAGTGACCTATAAAATCTTTCAAACAATACAAATTTGTGAGAATAGCTTAACACACGGAAACATGATCATTTAAGAGGTTGGATTAGGTAAAGTATCCTCTATCCACCGGTCACACCCGCCTTAACCCTACGCATTTCATTGAAAAATGATTTCATTTATAGTCGTCACTATAATGAAATGTTGAAGTGAAGGTCACAAAAATAGTATTCCTCTTCTACGTCTTCTGTACTTTTTTATATAAATCTTTCTTTTTGTTTAACACATTCTGCTATTTCATACAACATATTGTATTTATTTCTATTTAATTTTATTTTAGTTTTATAAGCATTATTGAGATATTTTTTAAGGTAAATGTATAACGAGAAACATGTCATTTTTCAAAGCATTATGCTATATTCATTCAAGTACCCTGCCTAAATTCCATTATTAATGTAATTTTTTTGTTACTAACATATTTGTAATATAATGACCCCACTGGAAATAAGCTTTTTAAAAAAAAAGCTTTATGGTTTATCCTTAGGTAATACCTATCATCTGTATTTCATGTAACTTACATAATAATACATGTATATGCTCAATTAGATCTTTATTAAGTAGCATAGTGCTGAGATAATGTCTATTTTTTTTTCTATTAGTAGGCTAATCTGTAATGTTTTAAATGTGTGTTATCATGACATTCTGTGCTATTTTTACCTGAATAAAATGAAATGAAAAAAAAAATTGTAAGCTCCCCGGGAATGGTCAAGCTTAAATTGGGGGCGCTACAAAATAATAACTGGCAGTACTCCTGTACTAAAATCCTTGGTCCCTTGGTAATAGGGAAACATAGAATTCATCTTGGTCTCAATAATATTTATTAATCATGCATAATATAGTTTTCATCTGAACAGGTACAGTTCATATTGGTGGCGTCTACCGTACAGGCTACTACATGTAATTATAAAAAGGGGGGGGGGGTGTACAATGGCTATAGTAGGGTGATCTCCAGAGTTAATTACAATAAAATACATGTAGGTGTCCAGTGTGTTGGGAGATAATTGTCGAACATTTTCTCAACTGGAGTCACAATCGTATGGCTATGGTGAAAATACGGGCGGATCTTGGATCTCTACTTTGAATTAGCGCCTGACAACTCGGCAAATTATCTGATGACATAATGCGTTCGCCCCCTATATATATCCTTCGGAAAAGGGTCACATGACAAGATTCAACCAATACAAATGCTGTACGGCGACGTTACACCAATCACGACATTGTACGACATCGTACAAAATAAAAATCGTGTCGTACTGTCAAACAAAGTTGTCGTACAATATGAATTATAAACAAACCCAGGAATTAAGAAGTGAAAAGACAAAATAATCAATAAATATGGATAACATAAGATGTGTCTATAATAAGTAAGTAAACAATTTATCTCTGAAACTTGTAAATTTCACAGAAGTAAACTTGCTGAGTATGCAGACGATATCGCGGATGGATAAAAATATAGAACAAGTTTTAGACACATGTAATCGGGAATAACAACTACTAAAATGAATATTAGAAATCACAATAATAATTAACATAATTAATAACAAGTAACTATGCCTGTGATGTAACATGAATAACATGAGGTTAAATACGAAACTAATCTACTTAACATGCACCGATAAAGATCGCAGACAGGATGTAAACAAGTTGCATGGCAGCAGATGATTTAAAGTGTTGCAGCTAATCTACACATGTAGAATTGTTAAGATAATGACAGTTAAGTCAAGAAATACATGCAGATTCAAGATGAATGGTAATTAATTCATGGTACGTAAAAATAAATGCAAACTTCAACATTCCTGACCAATTTTGGCACAACGTTTTGACACACATGAAATAATATTACAAGTAAAGTCCACCCGCCCTTCTATTACTACACAGTAAACCATTGTGAAATTTTAGACATCTGGCAGGTCCTTACAATATGTTTAAAGAATCTATTTAAGGTGTAATTTATTTTTATTTTAGAGTGAGAGAGAGTGAGAGGGAGGAAGAAAAGAGAAAAAGTTGGCGGAGGAGAAAAAAAGGGTTGCATGACATATCCTTTTCACCTTCATTATATGCAATATATTTTTGTGTTTCATAGAATGTATTCATAAGCAATATTGCAGCAGTTACATTTAGTGTCTTCCCTGTACACCTCATTGTGTAGATATAATATTTTAGCCATAGAACAAGATTATTTGGGTTTTTTTTCATCCAAAAACCCCGAAACGAAATTATTTCTTGTGATTGATATTTTAAGATTAGTTTTATTTTAAAAGTAATCTTCAAATTCTCTTTAAAAATATCGTACACTTTCACACTCCCAAAGCAAATGTTAAATTGTTTCTTCTTCCCCATCACAGAATGTACAGTTCTTATTATATGTGATTTTGATTTTGAATAAATATGAGTTTGTAGCTAAATTTCTGTTAAAAATTCGATACTTTAAAAGGCAATTTAAAATTATTTTCCATTCTTTGTCATTCAATTCACATATTTCATTCCACTTTCTTTCACCGGTAGGTTCTGTGCTGTTTTGATTGAGAAGATTGTAAAACTGCCCTGATTTTTTGCATTCCAGAAGGGTATATATATATATATTTGACATGACCAGAGGGTTTTGTGATTTGGTTTCACTTTCATCAAACTTCACTTTTTTCATCCATGCTTTAAGAGCTCTTGTAACACTAATGTATTCTAAAAAAATAATTGTCATTTGAGGATAAATATCACAATCGCGTCAGCGTGATAATTTTTCTAAGACAACGATAAAATTCAAAAATAACCTTTTTTAAAAAAAACTTTTTTATCTTTAACATTCAAAAATTCTGACGTTGCTAATCACGTGGCCCAGTTAGTCTCCTGATAGGGTAGTCACGTCATTTTCAATTTTCAGTTGTAAACTGGAAAGAGCTGATTTTAAATTTTTACTATGTGTTTGATGTCTATGACATCATCTATTTAATTCGCAAAAACAAAATGTTCGATTGGTTTGAAATAAAGGGAAAATTAAAAAACTTTCGTAGTGTATGTGACATTTTATGTTGAAAATTCATTACGACTTTGAAGATAATACCTACAGTATAGACTGTGTAGAATGGAGGTGTCCTTACGGCAACTGCATAAAAAATTCTGTAAGGGAAGGATAACGGATTTCAAAATCCCACCCAGTGCTGGAGCAAATTGTGAAACTTACCTTATATTGGTGATGTGACTTACCTGTAAATTTAATTTTAAATGAGCTAAAATTTGGCAGTGGCCATGTTAGATGGAATTGGCTAAAGTTTGCTAGAGAGGTCTGCCTATAAATTTCTAGCAAGATACAGAATCGATCGGTTGGATAGGTAAATCTATAGAAAAAGACGCTAGCAAATTCGGGAAGTGTCTGTGTTACAAAATACATTTTTTTGATATTTTCATTGTATATTGTATTTCGGTTTGAGAATGGATTTTTTCCCAGGGTACATTTACTGTTGGAAATACTCTGCACCTGCACAGTTTCCCTCACAGCATGGTTTGTATCAGAAAAGTTGTGTTCATGATATAAATTAACTAGTAAAACAATATGCTGACAATTATTTTTGTTATGGCTACAGTGGTATGTGTGCTAACTACTGTACACATACAATTAGGATTCTCCCTCTTTCTACAGATTTAACCCAGTCAAAATTTTTTTAGCTCTTTTGACTGAAATACAATAATAAATGTAATAAAATAAAATCAACAATGCTTTCACAAGTGAAGAGCACATGCTACAAACAAAATATAAGTGCATAGATTGCTTTGTATTCCTGGACATCTTTTAATTCGCTTACCTACTTCATTCACTTGAAAGAATGAAAGATTTAAGCACCTTTTCAGTGATTTTTTTTTTACTTAAAACATATTGTTTGTGGCCCCTGTCCATAGTACAAGTAATAAAATACTTTCAAAATCTGTATTTTTTCTTTTTTGATATTTTGCATATAAAAATTAAGGTAAATGACTCGTAAAAAGAGTTCTTAATAAATTCTATTTTTGCTTATTACAATCCTATTGGATTTTGGAACAGAGAACCATCTTACCTGTTTATTTTTAGAATGACAATCAGAATCTGACGTATAAAGATAAATTTATACATCATTCAGTTAAAGATTTGGTGTCTTTGGACAGTAATTTTTGTTGTAAACAATGATGTCGATGCAATAAGGGGAACTTGTAAATACATATTAACCTACATAGCAACTTATAAACTACAGTATTATTATTATTATTATTATTATTATTATTTTGTGGACGATATTGTACGACCCGACAACCTATAATCCTGATGATTTTCAAATTATATTCCTGTTGTGTTTTTATAACATACTTAACTTAAATGTGTCAATTAATATGACAGCACCTAAACTGCACTGTCGTAATGAGGAAACATCGTTTCCTCCTCAAATGACAATGAAAAGGGTTTAGAAAATATCTTGTTTTATCAGAATTCAATACAAGCAACATTTCTTTCGAATTGCAGGTTTATCAATAATCATCCTCTAAATAAATAATTCGAATGGGTTTTATGGATTTATTTTAACGCATCGGTTAATCTAAGTATGTAAGAGGTTTTAATTGCTTAGGACTTTATTAGCATTGGAATTATGCGTTTTGGTAGAGCAAAACCATGCAAACAGATTAATTCAGTCAGTGTTAGTGAAAGCTTGTATATAGATTCAATCTGTTGATATTTGGACAAAATTGACAATCGAAATGAATCTAACTTTACTGATTTTGTTTTCCATCTTTGGAATTTCTGCATGTTCTTCAAACATTGAGCACCAGCTGTTTGAGAACTACAGCTCCATGATAAAACCAAGAAAGAATAAAAGTGAATCCGTGCATGTAAGTTTCTATTTTTCTATAAATTCCGTTCATGAGGTTGAAGAACGTTTGCAATATATATCATTTTTTGGTTGGTGCAATGTTCAGTGGTACGACGAATTCCTCACTTGGAATGAGACTCAACATTCCGGACTAAAAATGATATCAGTTCCATATCAAAATGTTTGGACTCCAGATATTTCCATGTGGTATACTGAAGAAAATGTTCATGGCTTGGAACCTCATCCATATGTAACTGTGAATTCTAATGGTCATGTGATATGGTATCCTGGCGGGAAAATTATACTTTCATGTGACATCAAAGTTTCGAGATTCCCCTTTGATGAGCAGTGCTGTAAAATTATTGTTGGTGCTTGGCAAATAACTGACTGGGTTCAAAAACTAGTTCCAAAGTCAAGGACATCCGATGATGCAAATATCATTTCTCAGAATGGAGAATGGATATTTATGAAATTTACCTTTACTGAAGTATACAATGCAGAATTTCATTTAACAACAGTGGTATACGAACTTCATTTCAAAAGGAGATATCTTTACATCATATTAACTATATTCATTCCCATAATAATACTAGCTGTTCTGAACTCACTGACATTCTTTGTTCCAGTCCATTCAGGGGAGAGAATTACCTATAGCCTAACGCTTTTTCTGACCTTTACTGTATTTCTGACCTTATTCGAGGAAACGATGCCAAGAAATTCTACCGATGTACCATACCTCACGATATACGTAGGATTCCATTTACTCCTTTGCGTAATAAGTACAATCATATCCGTTTTATTGAAACCTTTCAAAAAACCAATTATTCATCATGATCAATCCCCAAACACTGAAAAACGAACAAAGAAACACGAAATTAAGAATGAAAAGAGTTATATCAATGATAAATCTTTGGAGATCAAACCACATGATGAAGTGGAAGGGAGATGTCATTGTGGATGTCCTAAGGTTATATCTTATGAACAGATTGACTCATTTATGATTTTGTTTAATATCAGTGTATTCATTTCTTCAACGGTAATATTATTCATGTTTTATTACATTTGATCAGTTTTCTTCTCTTACCTAACAACACTTTCTCACAAACGTTTCATAAAAAGATGTTGGTTCTGGTGATGGGCTGATTGTATACCTGGCACTACTGGATGAAAAGAAGTGCCAAGAATCCCAAATTTTACTGAAAATGTTTCATTATTATTGATACTGTGCTGTTTATATATATATATATATATATATATATATATATATATATATATATATATATATATATATATATATATATATATATATATATATATATATATATATATATATATATATATATATATATATATAAACTGATATTTACTGAAATTATTACTGTTGTTACTGAAACATTAAGTCGTTTCTGATACATACTGATAATTACTCTCATCTTTACTGTTGAGTCTGATAAATACTGTTGCTGTGTTATCGATGCTGAGAATTACTGTGGTCATTGTTCTTGAACTGAGAAGGTAATAAAATAGACTGAGTAATGATAAAATGTTTTAAAAGAATAAATTTTATAAACAATTTCATTATGGTCTACTTGCCACTAATCTTTTTAATTGAAAATAATCACATTTATTTATTTATTTTTACTTCATTTCATTTTCCTTCTAAATCAATAAACTTAATTATCAATTAAGAAAATTTAAGATCATTAATATGTATGTTTTCCCCCATTTAGATCATACAAATGTATGTTTTCTCTCATTTTAATAAAAATGCATGTCTTCCTTATCATTATGTTTCTCCTTAGTTGTCAATACCTGAGTGGGCAAAGCGTGTTGTTCATGAAGTGGTTACAATACTTGGCGATGGGAGCTTTGGGAGCACCTTACCCAAGTACTTTTTAAAACATGTTTTTCTTAACAAAAGTTAAAAAAGAAATAAAAATTCAGTTATTCCCTCTCGTATTTGTTCTACGTGCTTTAGTACTACACTTGCTAAAAATTTTAAAATACATCTTCAATACAATCAGTAGTTACAGTTATCAATTTATATTTCATGTAGATAATGGGTATTTGACAAGTTACATGTATGAAAAAGTTCCGTTGGCTTCATTAGTTGAGACACCCCCCCCCCCCCTTTTTTTTTTACACATATACATACTATTAAAAAATAGTATCGAATATTTCTAACAAAAAATCTATTCTTGTACATGTAACATATACCATGTAATAAAGAATATGCTTTAATTTTTCTAAGCCATCAGTATACTAGAAATCTTGTGAAGTGTGATGTTCAATCAATGAAATATAAAATGCCTTAATTCTTTGTTCTAACGCTATACTTTCATTGGTTTTCGAAATTCAACATTTAAAATGCAGAATGAAACTTTTTTAAAAATATCTTTTTGATTTCTATATTTGGGTCTTAAAATTATTTTTCATATACAAATGTTTTTTTTTAAAGAAAAAAAAAAGACTTTTCCCTGCTTATCTATGTCATGAATAGAAAAATCTGAAGTATGGAAATTAATCTATATATTATTTGATAAAAAAAAATGGGTGTCTTTAGACTATAAATGTAATATTGATGTAAACAGTGATTTAATGGGAGGTACTTTCTGAATTGGAATTAAATGTATAGCAACAAAGATGTTGGCTGGTACACAAAACACACAAATTTGTTTCATATTTATTATTTTTTGTTATTATTGTGCGAAAAGACGTACTATAATGATAGTTCTTAAATATGGGTTCTCTCTATGTTCTCATTAAATACGACAAAACGTATCAGTTTAAATAAAAGCACATAAAATACACTATTATAGTAAAAAAAGATTCATAATTTACTTTTGTCTCCAATGACGCTGAAACAATAAAGTTTTATTAGAATTCAATACAAGCAGTATTAAGAGAATTACAATTTATCAACAATAATCTACTAAATAAACAAATTGAATGGACTTTATTGATTCACTTTATTCAAATTTATTCCAGCTTTCAGCACCTCTAATAGAAATCACGTTGCTGACCTCTTTTTACTGAAAAATGAATAACTGTTTGGGATAATGTCAGTACATTTAAATTTTCCAAAGGGTTCAATTGGTCAGGGTATAATCAAGCATGAAAATAGGTTGGGTAAAACCATTAAGATAAATCATTCAATAACTTTAAGTGGAAGACTATATAAGTTCACCCCGTTCGAGATATAATCAAATCTGACAATAAAAATGAGTCGGACTTTAGTGACTTTTTTTTTCACCTTCGGAAGTTCGGCATGTTCTTCAAGCATCGAACACATTCTTTTCGAGAATTACAGGTCTACGATAAAACCAAAAAAAATAAAAGTAAAGCAGTGCATGCAAGCTTCTATTTTTCTATAAATTCCGTACAAGAAGTTGAAGAACGATCGAATATATAACCTTCTTTGGTTGGTACAATGATCAGTGGTATGATAAATTTATAATTTGGAACGAGACTCATAATTCTGAGCTAAAATTGATAATAGTTCCTCAGCAAAAAGTTTGGACTCCAGATATTTCTATGTGGTGCAACTGAAAAATGTATGCATGGCTTGGGACCTCACCCATTTGTAAATACACTGAAATCAAATGGTCTATCTACCTGGTACATGTGCCCTGGCGGAAAAATCAAACTTTTGTGCTACATCAAAGTTTCCAGATTCCCCTTTGATGAGCAGTGCTGTAAAATTATTGTTGGTGCTTGGCAACTTACCGACTATGTTCAAAAATTAGATCCAAAGACAATGACACTCGATGATACAAATATCATTTCTCAAAATTGAGAATGGTTGTTTATGAAATTTACCTTTACAGAAGTGTACGACCAAGAATTTCATTTAACAACAGTGGTATACGAACTTCATTTCAGGAGAGGATATTTTTACATCGTATTGCCTATTTTTGTTCTAATAATAAAAATACTTGCTGCTCTAAATTCCCTGACATTTTTCGTTTCAGTAGATTCAGGGGAGATAATTACTTACAATATGACACTTTTTTCTAATATTCACTGTCTTCTTAACCTTATTCGAGGAAACCATGCCAAGAAATTCTACCGATGTACCATACCTCACGATATACGTACATGTAGCATTCCATTTACTCCTGTGTGTAATAAGTACAATCATATCATTTGTTGACACCTTGTATTAAACCATTTTCCTAAATCATAATAAATCCATTACTCCGTGAAACGAACAAGAAAACAGCAACAATTTTGAGAATGGAAAGGTTTATGTCGATGAAAAAATTCTCAAAGTCTATGCTAATGAAGAGGAAGGCAGATATCATTGTGGATGTCCTGAGAGAAAATCTTGATTTAGTTTAATATAATTGAATTTTTTTTCAACGATAACATAATTTATTTTCTATTATATTTGATCCTTTTTGCATGTTTATGAATTAATCTCTTATCAAATAATATTTTGTAGTGCTCCCTTCGCAACACTTTCATGGGAAAGAAAAAAAGAAGGAACTCAATTCACGCAGTTAAATATTTACTTTGACTTTACAAGTAGCTGCTCTTGAACATATCCGAAAAAATAAGTAATTTGCAACTCCTCTCTAGACTTTAAAGAAGCATTAAACAACGTCAAACAAACAGTTTTCTTTATTTTTGTTTCTTGTTTAATACTATACGGCATATCTAAACAAGTCACTAATCGCAACTCAGCATGCAACTTAACGCATTGCGTCATTTTTTAAAATCCTGCGCATTTTATGCGCAGTGAAAGGGGATTGAGAAATATTGTCACACTCGAAAACATTTTATATTGTTTAGAGATGTGAAACAGACCAAATACTTTAAATGCAAAACTTGCGTTAAAAACTATTCTTTAAGAAATTTGAATCATACTGTCAAAAGTCTTTTCAATTGTTTGTCTAGTATCCTTCTGGTACCTAGATACATACCTGTAGCATAATAAAAATTAAAACAAAAGATCAATATGGCTATAGAGGGAATCTAATATGACTATTTGCACTAACTGCGTCTTATACACTACTTCATCTTATACATAAATCACTTTTTTCAATGTTTTTCCTGTAAAACTTTTAATCCAAATAAATCATAGAAAAAAATCAGCTTAAGTGTATTTAATCTTGAAAAAAACACATTAGAAATCTTGAAAAAAGAAAACACTTCAAATTACTTCACATAATTATTTATCTGACTTTTCTATACTAACAAAACACTATGTACAACGTATCTGGCATTCAAAAATTTTAAGGAATAACATTATTTTAAAGTCTTGATGAGCTTTTAATGATTTTTAGACAAATAGTAAAAGTTATTAAATTCAATAAATAAAAGTAAAAGTTTTTGATGTATTTTTTCGTGTTTTTAAAATGTGTTCATTTTAAGCAAAAATTTGCGCTTTTTTTTCTGGATTTCACGACACGATGTATATCCTACATTTGATAGATTTCATAATATGATTTTTTATTATTTAATCAAGAACCTGCATAAAACATTCCAATGCACGGAATACTTTTTGAGCAACATGCATTGAAAAATAGGACTAATATATGGTAAAAACATCGAAAAAGGAAAAAAAAAATGGTCGTTATCTTAGAAAAACCTTCTGCTAAAAATATAATTCCTTGCAAGACAGACTATCTAACATCATTTTTGTGAAAGAGACTCACCCTAGTCAGTCGAGGTATGTAACTGACTTGTCATTATCAGTTGTGTAATGTGCAAGACTAACCATAATCAAGGGAGCGGAGTGTAATACGAACCGTATGGTTTGATGGCCCTTTTCAGTCGAATTATACACGCGTTCAATATGATACATATATATGAAATTTCGTCGACACATTGATGCATAAGATGTGAACACAAACTATCAACATTGTTGGCATAGCGATCTTGAAAATGTGGAAGAAGTAGACATAGAAAATTTCATATATCGCTTTTATGATTTATTTTTTTAAACTAGGTTATAGGTATTATAAAGGTCACGAGATTAGTTAAAGTGGTATTTTTACAAAAATTAGAAAGCAAAGCTATAAATGTTCAAATATTTTATCCATACCTTACCAACTTCTCAAA